TTGCCATCTGTCTGTTTTGCATGATTTTTTCAGTTAAATGCACATTCAAAAGTGCATTTTCCTCCAAATCGTGGCATGACCAATTGAGCAAGTGTTGAGTAGGTATGTTCTGTCCAAATAAATGACAATATACCTTTGCTAAAATAGCTTGAATTTAGGGGGATTGCACATTCATGTTTCTTGGAAAAAGACATTTAGTATTAATTAAAGAATTAAGAATGGAAGACTATATATGATACAACAGGTTAGCATTAAAGCTTACTTGTTTTAAATTTTAGATGGTCAAAGATGTTTTCATACCCAGTTCTAATCCGTTTGAAAATATTTGTTAACTTCTAAAGAATTCTAGTTGCAGAAGACTCCTGAGAAGACTGTGGACAACCAAGAAAAGAAACTGATAGATCATTGAACAAATCAACCCAGAGTTCTCCCCTGAGGCACAAATGACCAGGCTCAAATTAACCTAGTTTGGACACGTTATGCAAAGACCCAGCTCTCTGGAAAAGGCTCTGATACTGGGAAAGGTGGAAGGAAAGAGAAGAAGAGGGCGACCAGTAGCAAGGGGGAGGGACTCGGTTACGGTGGCAATGACTGCACCATTGGGAGACTTGAAAAAACAAGTTAGGGATAGATTGTTATGGAGAAAATTTATCTGTGTGGTCACTAGGAGTCGAAAATAACTTGATGCCACATAATCAAAGAATTCTAGAGAAATAACAAATAGGATAAAATTGGGTATTAAAAGTCATGCACTGTAAGGAGCTATAGCTCTACATCTATTTTTAGAAATAATTACAAGATGTATGACTTGCAGCCCACAAAGTTACATATGTCTTGTCAGCTGTGATTAGAGATACACTGGGATCTGAGAACTATCTCCACTACCATTCAGTTGTTTGAACATCCATCTGGCCACAAAATGCAGTTGATGGATGACATTTCCTTTCACTTATGGCAAGCTGTGGAGACCTCAAAAGCAAATATACAGTAAATGTAGCTGGCTTCTAATGTGTCAGTAATTCCTGATACCTGTCCTTCATATCACAACATGCTGCTGAAGTCCAGGTGTTTCTGTAATACCTATTTTTCAGTGGAGTCATGCTTTGTATTAAATAGAAACCTTCCTCTGAAGATCTCAAAGCATTAAAAAGGGTTATTCTCTCTTTCCATATGGTAACAGAATGTCTAATGCTTAAGCTTCATCCCAAAGAAGTAAAGTGGAATATATATTGACATTTTGAGGAAAGAGAACCAAATGTTTGATTTGGATGATTATACTGAAGAGGATCCATCATTTATTGAAGCACCAAAGTGATTATCTTTCAGCAGATGGATTGCGGGCAATTTTGACATAGATGATAATGACATGAAAAATGGAATATGATCTTAAAGGCCGAGACCGGGGTTATGGTTGAGCTAAGTGACCCAGAAGTGCTGAAACTATCTGTCACATTTCACGCAGGAATTTCTTCATGACAAATGGAGCTCATATAATGATAAAAAAATTGTGAATAAAATATTATATGTAGAAAGGTAAGAATTCCAGCCCAGTTAACCCTCTTGACATGAACATGACTTATGGCTCCACTCAAAAAGTATCTGGAAATTTCAGGTGGTATAAAATATAGTCCCTGTATTGCTAATTGCTGCAAAGTGTGAGAATCATACCTGCACCAAACGTTTTCTCAAGTTGCCAGAATGTCAAGTTGGACATAATTCAAGTGTTGGTCTTCCCCTTGAAAGTCCTAAATGGCTTTGAACTTGGCTAGCTAAGGACTGCCTGTTCAGATGTCAAGGTCAGCAAAAGAAGATTCTTTTGAAAGTGTCCTCACTTTCTGTAGCTCATCTAGAAGGATCTTCCCCTGTGCCTTTACCAGCTTATGGGGTGTACTTTATTTAGGCTTACATTTGAGCCCTATTCCTTTTGCTTTCAGGAAATGTATACAATATATTTTGCCAGACCTTCGGTGGTCAAGTATTTTAATATTTACTATTTGAGTTTTAACTGTTTGTTTTTTTTAAATTCGTCTCTGTTGGCTTAAACAGTAAACTACCATGACTGTTCTTTTCAAACAGAAAAGTGGCCCATGAATCAAGTAATCAAATAAATAAATATAGAAAGCAAATGAAAAGAGATGAATTCTGATCCTAGAAACAGAGCAGGAGAGGAAAAGTGCTAAGAAGAGATTATAAGGAATGGGCAGACAGCCCAATAAACTCTCGCCCATATCTGAAATACATGGCAGAAAATCACAATCATAAAGTCTGTTGGGGGGATAGAGTGGGGGCGGTTAGAAGTTCAGCCAAAAAACACTAGAGCAACCTTAGAACAAACAAAGATTAACTTGGCTAAAGCAACTGAATAGGAAGGCTTCTGACTTGAAGCCTGAGTTTTGATCTAATTAGTTTAAGATCACGAACAGCCTTTTCTGAAGACAAGAAGGAAGTTTTAAGAGTAATACTAAGAAAAATAAGATGTTCATTATTTCTCTCCCAAAAGTTTCAGCTAAGCAATGCAAAGTCGTCTACATCATTTGCTTAACCAAATGGTAGCCTGGTACTTTTTTACATATGTCAAGTTGAGGAGCTTTTCATTTTGTGGCTTCTCTGATTACATGGTAGTAAAAGACATACAACTTTGTGTAGAACGAAAGCATTGTGGTCCAATTCTGTTGGATATCTGTTACCCACTCCTTAACTGCTGTGCATCCATTCATCTGGTAACATTTTCTGGATCTTTCACATTACATCTGTTACATAAAATACTAAAATATCCACAAAAACGTAAATCTCATGCATACTGAGATTTCCAGTAACATGATTATTCCATTTTAAATCATAGTTAATAAAGTTGTGTTGACTACAGATGTACTGATTGGGAAGTCGATATGCAGCTGAATCTCAAATTAACAGACACTTTGTGGGGGAGAGGGTGTATGTTACCTCAATTTCTGTTATTGCCGGTTTCAGAGAAGGTCATTGCAGCAACATCATTACACCGATGAAGTAAATTATGTCATTTGTATCATTGTACGCCATTGGTTTAATGACACCATTAGGAAAATGCTGTGGATACAACAACAATTTCATCCATGGCACCCAAACTCCTTTGCATTGAAGTTTCATGCTGTCTAATGAGTTTTAGTGGATTTGAAATGATGGTTATTTAAGCAGGTTGGTGTAGAAGTTTTCTTCGTTACAGCTGTTTTTGGCCTTTATAGATGGTTGGATTGGAGGTAGTTTAGTCTGTCTGCGTGTAAATGGATTTATTTCAGTCTTCGTGCCACCAAGAGGGAATAAAGGATAGCTGTTTTCCAGGAGACATTTCCTTGCAACGGAACTGAATAATTTCTTTCCTAGGTAATTCTACAGCATGATTACCTATGCAAGCAATATTGTACTGACAACTAGTGGCAAATTATAGACATTAACAAGACTCATAATGCAAGAAGAAAGGCAGGAAGGGGATGTAAGTATAGATGTAAATAGAAGAAGCTGTTACCCTAAATTAGGTAAGCCCTGGGAAAACAAGCATATATATTTATTATGTATGAGATTTGCAAGTCTGTCTTAAAGATATGCAATAGTTAATTGTTCACTCCATTAGTAGAGAAAATGATCTTAAATATAAACTGAATTAGGATATTTATTTACTGATATTATTTGAATATTAAATACTCTTCCACAGCGAATATTGAGCTTAAAATACTAACATAAATTGGAGTTAACCAAATGATTGTGTTAATGAGTTTTCATTCTGTTTTTTCTATTTACAGCTTCAATTTTGTGTACGTTTCTTTGAGATTAACTATCATTTAACTCATTATAGTGTTCTAGTAAATGATGCATAGGAGTTGCCTGCAAGTTAAAGAAAATAAGACAAACACCAAACTAATAATTAGTAACAATCTGTTCTAGTTTATAGGCCAAAACAATGTGTTTCTTATACTCATATCCTTGATTTTTTTAGTTTTCTGAGTAACAGATGAGAAATCTTTTTCTTCCCCTTAGATTCAGAATGAGACATTTCAGTCCATTCCATTGTCAAGCTCTTTGTTATCTTCTCCCTGCATGTAGAAATGTAGGATTGAATTTTCAACAGGCTACTTTTTAGGGTTTGTGTTTGAATTCAAGGGATGGGAAGGAGCACATTCCCACTTTGAATGCACAGTTACTACTACCACCACCACCACTACTACTATACTACTAATTTTACAGAAGCAGGAAATATGTTTTTTTGGGGCGGGGGAGGAATTGTCCCGCTTTTCTCACAGTGGTTCAGAGGAGCTTAAAATGAACATGGAATCATCATCAACGCAAGCACGTCTATAGATTTTGCTGTACATTTCTGCTATAAGTTAAAAATTTTCACTGTTAGTGATGATGATGATAACCGTAATCATCGTACTTATAACTCACAGTTTATTTTGCACAACTCAACACTGTTGCAAAAAAAGTATGTACACAACTCATGGCGCCGACGAGGAGAAGGGCAGTTCACCCTGTCAGGGCTGTGCAGCGCTTCGGATTGGGTTGGGAGACGTGCTTTGAAGGAGCAAGAGCTCAAATGCAGCATTTGTCAGCAACTTATTAAAGTAGCTGTGTTCTTTCCAGGATCATGGCACAATTTAAATAGTCCCTCACAGAGTTTCCTTAGAGTTTTCTTTCCACTGTTGCTCATTATTTTTGGGGAGAGATGCCTCATTCCATCCTCGTGATCAAAGTGGCAGATTAAATCACATTATATGCATTATTCCAGAGGAATCAATCTTCTCAGCTGAGCCTGGCTCCTATTTCTCTCCAAAGTACTGGAAGTAATTCCTGTCTAATGTATTACACTATGATATTGATGGGTAGGGTGTTTTCTTGCTAAGGAGCAATTGAGTCAAGCTTTATCTGGTAGGCCCTGAATTTACCTTGGTTTCATGTCAAAAATGCTTGCAACCTTGAGCGTTTGAAACATCATCAACTTTATTTTTGCTTCCCTCCCCCACCCCCAGGCCTTGAGCTACCTTTTATGATGATGCCCCACCCGCTTATTCCGGTCAGCTTGCCCCCAGCATCCGTCACAATGGCCATGAATCAGATGAACCACCTTACCACAATTGCAAACATGGCTGCCGCAGCACAAGTGCAGGGGCCTCCCTCCAGAGTGGAGACGTCTGTGATTAAGGTAGGTAATCGTTGCTTTGCTCCCGGATGTACCAGTAGCCTTCTCGGCTCTCTCCGTCCTGAGATGTGCCTTTCCTCGCTCACAAAAGATCTTTTGTAATCTGAAACGAATTGCATTGGTTTAAAAATCCCTTTAATTCAGACTCAGACATTGAAATACGGAAGCGTGAATCATTGTTGAAGCCGCTCCTCCAGCTCAAAAGGTGGGACTGGTTAATGTGGGAAGAAACTTCAGAGAAGTAGCTGAAAGTTTGTGATAAGTCCCTCACCCTTTGCAAAAGACCTCATCATGACAGCTAACTCTGGCTATAAACAGAAGCGTCACAACTAGCCAGAACGATGACTAAATGAGAAACATGGATTGTGATCCTGGGTGATGGTGTCAAAACATCCAGGAGGGAACAGAGACAGGACTTCATCATATTTTAAATTTAGGGTTCCCTCCCTCCCTCTTTCTTTCTTTCTTTCTTTCTTTCTTTCTTTCTTTCTTTCTTTCTTTCTTTCTTTCTTTCTTTCTTTCTTTCTTTCTTTCTTTCTTTCTTTCTTTCTTTCTTTCTTTCTTTCTTTCTTTCTTTCTTTCTTTCTTTCTTTCTTTCTTTCTTTCTTTCTTTCTTTCTTTCTTTCTTTCTTTCTTTCTTTCTTTCTTTCTTTCTTTCTTTCTTTCTTTCTTTCTTTCTTTCTTTCTTTCTTTCTTTCTTTCTTTCTTTCTTTCTTTCTTTCTTTCTTTCTAGCATTAGATGGTTAGTAACGTGTTTCTGTCATGGAAATGCTACCAGGAACACATGCATGGAAGGTGGATATATGTATAGTAGTAACACATCGTGATCATTTTCTGTTCTCTCCCTGATGCCCAGGTAAATTTTATTCTTTAGATACCTATGAGAATGGGAATTTATAGGAAATACATTTTTTCCTATGCCAGTGTAATAAAATATATTTGCTAGGATTTAAATTATAGGGGTATAGGGGTATAGAGAGCCATTCCCAAGGGTACTAGCAAGATATTCATTTCAGATTACCCAGGTAGAGTAAATAATAATTAGCTTTTTTTCATGCCATACTGAGTCTCTGAAGACTGTTTTGATTTAAAAGTCCAAGGCCTTCCAAAATCTGGGGTTTCAGGGTCTGCCTGGAAAGGGAATTCTAGAACACCAATAAAATTCATACAGCTTTCAAAACTGATTTCTGTTGCTTGAAGAATACTGAACTACTTTCGGCCAATGAACCGGATCATATGGGAAATCCGTATCTGATTACTCTTCCACAGAATGGTTGCACCACTTGTATTCCGAGACCAGTCGAAAATACAACATTTCAAAGCGTCCCCATGTTCTCTCATGCTAGCTTATAAGAGTTTCAGAATGAAAACCTCTTAATCTGCCTCAGTAGGAAAGTTAATTTGAAGGTCCTTCCCAGCTCGGATCTCTGGCTGACCACGCTCTGCAATTCACCAAGTGGTTCTGTGGCAGTGCATTATCTGAAAGTTGTAAAGCTTCAGATGACAACTTGCTTCATTTTCAGCAGATAAAGAGCTGGGATTCCCGTTGAAGCAAATCTTGGATTTCTATTTTTAACCCTTTTGAAAGAATGAAGCAAATGAAATAATAAAATCCAATCATGAAGAGTGAAATAAGAAAGCCAGGGTGTTTTCTTCTTTTCCAATTCTACATCCTACAATTAATCAATACCTTTTTGGGAATTAGATAAATGTTACGTAACTTTTTTGCAGTCTGGCTTTGGGGAATAAGATCTTGGGAATGAGGAGGTCCAAGAGCTTATTTATATACATTATTGTCTATTATTGCAAAGAAGGGTGTAAGAAATATAAGCACTAAGAAATAATAAAAGATACCTAACAATAAACAAATTGTGTCCGTTCAAGAACAGATCCTTCTTGATGTTAAAAAAAAACAAACTCCAAAATGAACATTCCTGAAAAATATCAAGTGTAAACAATAACTCTGCCTTGAAAGGGAAGCCATGGTGTCCCCTTCTTAACAAATGTGAAAGATGGAAATAATATCTTAAGCAATGGGCTGCTGTTGGGTGTTCCTTGCTGGATGACCAAGGGGATTTCCAGACTTCCACCAAGACTTTTCGCATTTGGAACAGAGCAGGAATTTCTATGTATTCAAGCACCAGGATGCTATGGGTTGCGAGTCTTCTGCTTCCAGAGGACCAGTGAGCAAACAGAACATGGTCATCTGAACCAATTAAGTGAGCAAAGATATTTGGTCCAAACTGTATTAAGCCATTGGCTAGTAAGCAAGAGCATTGCTCTTTTTCTCAGCTTTAACTCCCTGGCATGTTGCTTATGGGCTTGGCCTGTATCCTTCTACCCTGCCAGGTGTGCAGGAGCTCTATGGCAAAGGCTACTTCCAGTGACTGTGCAGGCCACCCAACTTTGTTGGAATTGCTGCTATTTCTACAGAGTTACATAAATGCTGTTTGCAGACAGAAGCTGTCCATTAATGGCAAGGCTCACAACTGCAGCAGGAAACAAGAAGGTCCAAGGGATAATGTTGAGCAGGCCGTGTTGGTTTGTTTGTTAAATTTATATTGTGCCTGTCATAAAGGAGCTCAAGAGAGTTAGAGTTCATAAATCAGTTCCTTTTTGAGAAGATTTGTAGCGGCTTCTGGAAGTAATCTGTATCATTCTAATAGGGTGGTACACTAAATTTAAGCAAATCAGGGATTCTTTCTCCTACTTTCCAGAGGAAGCTCTGCTAATTTATTGCAAGAAAACCAATCAGGTATTCTATAGCTGTTTAAAGAATTAACATAATTACCATAATATAAGCTTTTTAGACTAATGTTTATCAGACGCAACATCTCTCTCCCTCTTAATGATACACATGTATACATTGATACAATTTTACAAAAAAAAATTAATTTTGATTTGATTTTTTTGTATTTATTTATTTATTTATTTATTTATTTATTTATTTTGCTGAAGGGTGCAATTTTTTTTTAAATCTTGGAAAACTACTACATTAAAAGAACACTCGATCAACCACTAGTTCAAAATTCTGGTTTGATTTATTTAATGATATGTGCAACTGTACCCTCAGTGAAATCTCTAGAATAAGCATGTTGATCTAACCCCGTAGTTTAATTCTAGCGTGTTTTCCTCATACTGCTCCTCTCGTGTAACAAACATTTTTGTCTGAGCTTCTTTGACGCTATCAACTGTTGTTTGTTGAAATGACTGACATATCTGCGGTCAGAAACTCTGGCTGTCCCTTTAACTTCTGTGATAGGAAACAATGCAAGACGCTCCTTAATGTTCATCCCAGGATCTCAAGAAAAAAAGAGGATCTCCCCACTGTCTTGTTACCTGCCATTCAGTATTCAGAAAAAATGTTCAAGGGGATGATTTAAAAAAAAAAAAAATTCCTCACTGAAAACATTTTTAAAAACTCCCTGGATTTTTTTGATAGGCATTTCACTTTCAAACATTTGAATAACTTCTTCAGAATTATTTGGATTCTATTTGCATTGGGCTGAAAGAATTGAAGCTGATCTGCTCCCTCCTGACCCTTTTCACATCCACTTTGCTTTTCAGTCAGTGGAGAGAAATACTTAGTGACTCAGGACATTTTGCAGACCCGGGGTGTTCAACTTTGCCAAAAGTTTGTTGGGTCGAATACAATCTGTTACCTTACCAAGGTTGAGCTCCCACTGAGGTAGGAAACCTCCTTCTGGGTTGTACCACTTCAGAGAACATAAATGACTAAATACGCTTCTTTGTAGATGTTTATATTAAGGGGAGGGTGCTATCCATATGGAAATTGAGATGTAGAGTTCTAGCTTCAGAATTATGCTAACATGGATTTATTTTATCAAGTTATTACTCAGCTATGTGAATTTCCATCTGCATTCTGAAAGCACGCTGCCTTATCAGGCGTAGAAAATGAACACAAAAAGAGTGTATCGTTACAAACACTAGAGCTTTGCATTACTGTTTTCCTACCCAACCTTGGCTGACCTCAGAAGACCCAGATCGTCCCAGAAGAAGTCACTGGCAAACCACTCCCGTAACATTGCCAAGAAAACTGTATGGATGCTGTCAGCAGGAACTGAGTTCAACTCAAGGGCGCTATAACCTTTACATTATTAAATAATATGAGCAGCAACTTTCTGTAACTTCAGCTCATTTGCAAGACTTTTTTTTTTCTCCTTAAGACAGTAACATTCAGTGTTATGGGACATGGAAATATAAAGTATAATCCTCTGGACAACTTTAGAGTTATCATAGGACAGAAGATGAGTATCCAAGTCTCCAAAGGTAGAGATATTTTCCACATCAGGAGTCAACTTTTCTCTACTGTGAATCAACTATAGTGTGCGGTATATAAACATGCATCTTTGCTTCTGTGGGTTAGAAGTATGGTATATGGGAGGTTCCTCATAATCAATTCCTCTTTGTCCGTCTCTGTTTAACATGATTCTTTAGATAATGTGTAATGGAGCTCTTTGAACTGTAAGAAACCAACCTAAATTCAATCTAGGATCCAAGCCAAGTTTTAGTAATTGAAAAAGGAGCTGCTTTGGTGGATTTCATATTGACACCTTTTCTTTGATCAGGTGACTATGATCGTGTGACATAAAAGTATATGTTGAAGAGATGCTTGGCAGTAGTGTTCACCACCATTTCTTTCTGCCCTTGCAACTTATCCTTCCAGAAGGACTGCAAAAATACTGAATGGAGACAGGGCATAAGCAAAGGGAGAAGCCCATGTCACTTGCCTTTGGTGGAAATCTAAGTTGCAGTCAGCCACCGTCAAGATGGACAGACTTTCAGGTTTTGGCCCAGTGGAACATCAAGGATATTTGATAGCAGGAAGAAATTTGTGGTTTTGCCCAGACTGCTTTCCATTTTTTTCACCAATTACGTTGAATCTGTGGGCATTATGGAAGGAAGGAAGGAAGGAAGGAAGGAAGGAAGGAAGGAAGGATTTTGAAGAAATCAACAGAATTATCTCCCCCCGCAAAAAAGATTTAGTAGACCCTACAATTTATTTTTGTAGTATAAGTCCTGAAGTCCAGATATATAGGGCTACCTGTTTTACAAGTAGTCAAAAGGGTAACTTTGAATAATTACATGAACAATTAATATTTAATATTTTTCCTGTCGACATTTTGTAAAAGTAAAACGCTGTATTTTATTAAATCAATCTATTTTCTCACAGAGATAAGGAAAAAAAGAATAACTTTCTCAGATTCTATGGCATTATTGGTATATACATTTTAGGAGAAAACAGTGTTTCTATTTTATATTGTATCTAAGATTGCTTAATGCAGAAAATTGCAAAAGACTGCATAATATTGATTAGAGGGATTATAAAGCAGGCGTGTGAAGCTGAATCTCAGGGAGTTCAATTAATTGCACATTTGACTTTTTTAGTTCCGCTGCTTTCCTATTCAGGTTAAAGAGTATTTCAGAAGTCAACTGATAACGTGGGTATGGGACACATTGTCCCACAGATGCCCACCTGGTTCGCCTTATTATATGACAAAAATGAAACACGTTCTTCCCTTTGGTTTTGATTTCTAATTGTGTTGTGTGACCTTATTTCTTCTGTCTGCCTCCCTGCCTGCCTGCTATAATTTGTTCTGTAAAGACACACATAAATATGATAAATACACTCTTATAATACATTGATTTAGCATACAAAGCTATTGAAATCATATACTGTATGCTTGTTGGATTTCATTTTAATGAAGGCCTTTATAAGATGATAGGCCAAATGGTTAAAGTATGTTAAATGGAATGATTGCACACACTCTGTTTGAATTTATATAGAAATTACAAATGGGATTTATATCAATAGAAATGGGGAGAAGGGCCTGCATTTCACAATATTTGCGATCCTGAACATATATTTGATCTATCTGAGATCCTGGACACATATAATGAAAATAGAGATCAGTGTAACAAATCAAATCCTCAGTGTCTTAAAACTTTCAGTAGCCTATTTGCGTCTGGTGATGTGTAAGTGAGAAAAATAACCAAGTAAACTCTCCCTGTTAACTTAGTTTTTGAGTTCCTGCCCCACTTCCAGTGTGACATAGTTTGCTTACTGTGTCGTGTCCATCTGAGCTTTGAGAAACAGAAATTGTATGAAACTCAAAACGGAAAAATGCAGAACTTGGTTAAGTTAGCAATCCCAAAGTTCAGTAATACAACAATTCTCAGAGGTTCTTTCCTTTCACATGGAGCTGTTCTTTGTTTTGTGTTGACGATATGCAGGAGCGCGTTCCCGACAGTCCTTCTCCTGCTCCATCTCTCGAAGACGGTCGAAGGCCTGGTAGCCATCCATCCTCACATCGCAGCAGCAGCGTATCCAGTTCCCCTGCCCGAACCGAAAGTTCTTCAGACAGAATCCGTAGGTCACTGGGTATTTCCTTTTGCCACCCTCCCTTGCAACTCTCTTTGGTAACAAATGTGCACTTCACCATCGCCAGATTCTTCATCTCCCCCATAAAGCAGTGTGAAACCAATTCAAAGCGGAGTTCGCTTTCGTTTGGCTCCGAATACAGAAAACATGCAGAGAACGCCAATCAGCGTTCGCCCTGTTTCCCCCCAGCCCTCCAAAGAGAGGATGCAGAGAATGTCCCCCATCAGCGTCTGCCTCCTGAGCTGCTGAAGTTCACCCCGCTCCACACACAAAGGATGGTGGTGCCACCCATGTTGGTGTGTGCATTTGTCCAGAGGTTTGCAAAATAACAATAAAAATTGAGAGGGCTCTGGGATAGGAAACTATATGAGAGAACGTTAATTGCAAAAAAGGTGAACAAAGCTACTGAAATCCTCCAATGTTTTCCCTGTTACAATTTGCCTACTGCAATTAAAGGCCCACGTGAGCTGTGAAAGTTACCTGATAATGTGGTGGAAATTATGGCATCAGGCATCTTTCCCAGTAACCATGTTAACAGCTGCATGTTTGCTCTGGTGGCCGTGTTGAAGGAGGAGGGACGTGAGTTCTAAACAATGCATACAGAAGAGGCGTATTCCAGGAGGAGCACGTTGGCGCTCTCGGGGTGGGCAGAGGGCTGCACAGGAGAAAGGCTGAGGAGCAAAGTTTACCTTGAGCCAAGGAAGCAGGTTTGCACAAGAACAGCAATTCAAAAGAAAACACCAGTTTTGCTTGTAGTTTTAATTAAACCAGAACCGAGTCAGAAATAGTTGACTCATCTCCTTGAAACAGAGACCATCGTGAGGTCAATCAGGTCAAGAGTCAGCCTGAAGTGGAACAAAACAGTGATGGGCAGAAGGCCTTTTGCCTTTCTCTGTATTTGCAGTCTTAAATGTCTGGTGCACCATTCACAGGCTACGGAGGTGGAGATGGTAACAGAGAATATATATTTTTAAAAAGAGATTCGTTTCAAAAAGAAGAAACATTCATAGGCCGAGACAACCAACTTGTCTTAGCCTCACCCAATTATGGCTTATCAGCCATTATCTGATCCAGGTTCTCAGGTCCTTTTCATTTTTATAGTTCTAGAAAAGTGGGGAGGGAGAACTCTTGCTTTTAACAGAAATTAATATTAATTTAATATAAATTTGGAGTACTTTTCAGACAGATCTGAGTTTGGTTGCTTGGTCGTCATCGTCGTTTTTTAAAAAAAACCCTAACATTGTTGCTGCTGTATTTAGCTAGCAGATACAAATAAAGCTGCTGTGTATTTTTATTTGTGTTGTATACAGTTGTACATCTCACTTTGACTTTAGAAATCATTGCTTAAAATGGCCGTGTATGGAGATCTTTTATTTTTCTTCTGTAAAAGGATATTAACACTGAGTGAGTCTGTGATTGCCCATTTACATAAGGTTTCGTGCCTTCCCCCCCCCCCCCCCTTTCTTTTTGAACGATGACATTCTCAAGTTTGCTTCTAAAATTTGGAGAATATGTACTTGCCTCTATTTTTCACTTCTCTGAAATTTAAATAAATACCTTACGACATGCACTTTAATATGTTCCTTGAGTGTGGACATTACTGTTATTCTGTAAAGAAAGCCATGCGTTGTAGACTTTTCAAATTGAGGAAGTGGTGCTTATGGTAAGTAGAGCATTAAAATGAAGGTTCAGGTCATGCATAAATGCATCACTTGTTTTCTTACCACTTTCTTACCGTTTAAGACAATATGTTTGATCTGCGGTGACATACTTACATACACAAGGCACTAGGCAATATATTTTTGTCGTCAAGTGATGATGGTTATGTAAACAAGGGAGCAAGGGGCAATTGTAAACTCTGTGTCCCATTTGTTACACAATATGTTTTAATTCATTTCAGGTTTTCTTATAGATATAGATTTATAGATATATTTTGCTAGAGAGTTTCAGTTTCCTAAAATGTCTTTGTGCTTCTGAAAATCTCCAAAGGATAGGCAAGAAAAGATTTCCTACCACCCAGAAGAAGAAAAGAATGAGAGTATTGGTCTTTCTCATCAAAGAGCAATCCTACATTTCTGATGGACAATGGACCTTGGTTGTTTGTGCAGGGTTTAGTTGTACTAACATGGACTTTTTTGTAGACTGCCTTCAGTTGTGGGAAGATTGTATCAAAAGATTACAAACAACCAAACAATGAATAATAATACTCATTTGTTAAACTTGCATGCCATTTGGCTTTCAGTGACTCTGGGTGGCTCACAACCAACAAAGGAATTACAATCAAATCAATAAAACATTAAAGATAAAAGATGGCAAGTGCCATACATGAATGTTTTTTGTAGTCCAAAGAAGTGAGCTGTTGAAATAAAGCTTCTTCATCATGGTCTCTGATTCACAAATGGGAGTTGTATGTCTGGCTAATAAGCCTCTGAGATTCAGATCGTTTCCAGGAGAACGCTGCTCTCCATAATTTAAATCTTTGATTTAACGTGCTGTTCTTGCTTATCTTTTTATATGTATTCCTGCTTCCTTAACTGTGTATGTAAACCAAGTTGTAGCCTTCACAGTGAGGTAAAAAGATAATGGAGATGAGAGGGAAGACAGAAACATCATGCAGAAGCTGGGAGGTGGGAATATCCCAGCTATTTCTGTATTTTATAGTGTCAGTTAACTACTCAGTCTTCATACGTCGGGGGAAAAAAAGCAATTTGCAAACCCTCCTAGTTTTTTTTTGTTTTTTTTTAAGGAAGAGGCAAAATGCTTGGAGAGTTTTGCTGTGCGTGAATAAACTCGTTCTGTACAAAATTATATGTTTGTACAGTAACAGTAGAATCTAATTCATACTACATTTTCATCAAGGAGAAAACATTCACGTCTGTCTAGTGTTCCAGTATAAACGATAACATCCAATTTACAGAATGCCAAGCCGTTTTATATGTCCCTAAACAAAAAGTAACAAAGATCAATAACATTTATTCAATTACTTTACAGAGCAAATGTATGGATGTCTACTGAGGAGTCAGTCCTGTTGTCCTTAAAAGGAATGCTTGGGTTGCAGTTTTGTGGAGCTCAGCATGGCTGGCTTCTGAGCTGAGCTATAGCCATCTTGCAGGCAGAGGCCTTGCATTTTAGGAGCCAGCTGTCATGCAGAAGTCGAGCAGGTTGTCCTCTTTGCCTAGGGAAAAAGCGAAGAACTTCTTTCTGCCTGCTAAGCTATTATTTCGGGCACAAGTAAGTTGGGTGGAGAATGAAAAAGAGAAGAATGGGTAGATATGAAGTGCAAAAAGAAACCAGGAAATCCAGAGAAGAGAAAAGAGAGAAATGCCCCTCTTCTGCTGCCCTTTTGTATTGGACTGGGGACCATTCTTTTTCTTCACGGCTGTTGAAGAGGAAGGAAACCCAAATCAATCAACACAATGAACAGTCTTCTGGGCTTCCCAACTAGGTGGCCTGCTGATCTGTCCTGTTTTTCTCCCTCCTACCCTGTAGGAGATAGTGAAAAACTGCCAAGAATTTGAATCTCCATAATTTAAAGATTGTGGACAAAGGATGCTTACACTGGTACAGTAGTCTTTGACTTACGACCATCCATTTAGTAATTGTTTGAAGTTTTGGCAGCCCTGAAAAAAGTGACTTATGACTGTCGCAGCGTCCCCACGGTCATGTGATCAAAATTCAGGCGCTCGGCAACTAGCATGTATTTACGACGGTTGCAGCATCCTTGGATCACGTGATCGCCATTTGCAACCTTCGCAGCTGGCTTCCAACAAGCAAAATCAATGGGGAACTGTATGGTTCACTTAATGACCGTGTGATTCACTGAATGACAGCACTGATTCCCTTAACAACTGCCACAAAAAATGTCATAAAATTGGGTGTGGTCATGTGATACCTCACTTAATGACAGCACCGCTTAATGACAAATTTTACGGACCCTATTGTGGTCATAAGTCGAGGACTACCTGTACTCAGTCACTCATTGAAATCAGCAGTAGGCCTGGGAGAGGTGGGTAGCTCTCACCTTTTTCAGGCATCAAAGGAAGGAAGGAAAGTCCTTATCTGTGGGGAAGGTCCAGGGATTGTGTCGTGTGAAGGCCTGGCAGTTGGGTCGTTTGAGTAGAACGATTGTACTCTTCCATGAATAGAGATACGGCATAATTAAAGTCAGTATTTCCTAACTGAAGCTGAATGTATTAACCATAGTACGTATTCTGTTCTTTGTTCTTTGTCTGCATGTGCTGGCAGCTGTTCATCAGAATGGGCTCTCCATGAACCAGATGTTGATGGGCTTATCGCCGAATGTCTTACCTGGTCCAAAAGAAGGCGATCTGGCTGGCCATGATAGTGGACATGATTCCAAAAGAATGCACATGGAGAAAGGTAGAGTGTGGGTTAAAATGGTTCTTTTATTACGCGCTAATGAAGCGATGCTGTTCTTCATTCTAACTCTGTTATCGTTTTAGTGGTTCACAAGAGAAAGGCATTAGCGTAAAAGGAGGAGAGAGAAGTAACTTCCTGTCTCTTTTAAAAGATAACATGACTTCTCTTACATGCTCATGTGGTACGTTAATTATGGCAACAATGGAGAAAATAAGTGGCAAGAAGTATTTGATAATGCTGTTATGAATAGAAGAAAATGATTAGAATCTCACAATGAACACATAGATGAGAAGAGCAGCCCTTATCTTTTCCACTTCTCAGATGCCTGTTCCTGAGGAATATGGCTCTGAGAAATGATTTTACGTAATTGGGGTGGATCTGAGGTGGATCAAAGAAACAGGCACTTAAGTTCAGCGGGCATGAGATAACCACTGATGGCCATGTGTTGGGAAGGAAGAGAAGCTAAATTGCTTAGCTCCTGCAACTGTTAATAGTGTAAAATGAGACTGGCGGATACCATCTAATTCATTTTAAATTTAATCAGCCATCTGACTGAAAATATACGAGCTAGATTAATGTCTATTAGTATTTCTGTTGATTATTATGCTATCTTATTTGGCTTATGCAGGCGTGAGGTGCCTTTTTCTCTTATGGAAATATTAACCAATGTCTTCATATTTAGAAAAATAATACAGTAATGCAGTTGGGGAGGCTAATTTTGTGGGCAGGATATATCGATCTCTTTAAGCAACCTCTGCGTAACAAAGGCAAAACCAGAGAACAGGGGTCCTGCTCGAAGGCAACCGCTTGTTAGCGATGGAAGGCAGAACCCCAATAAGTAAGCATTCCAGTACAGAATTGCTTCAGCAATCATAAACTGAAATGAGGGTGTATTTTTTGGTATAACTTAATAGATACAAAAAAAAAGAAAGAAAGAAAAGAAAAGAAAAGAAAAGAAAAGAAAAGAAAAGAAAAGAAAAGAAAAGAAAGGGGAAAAAAATTCCAGATCTGTCCTGTGCAGCTACTGCGAGATATGGAAAGAGCATTAAAATCTGGACACTTTCATTCTGGACAGGTGGCATTTTTAATAAGATTACACTAAAAATTAATGAGAACAACATTTCTTTTATACAAATCATTAATTTTGGTTCATTGCACACATAGCCCGCAATGGCTCCTTGCATGCTTCCCCCACACATGCACTTAAATCCTGCAAATGTTATCCAGGCTGAGAGAATGATATAAAACTGACTTGTTTTCATTTTTAGGATGAAATGATTTGGTTTCAGCCCATTTGCATTTATAATACAAACGTGCCCACCATCAAGTTAACATTTGTGTAGACTCCCAGTGAAATAGGATGAAAAGTTTTTCCTCGGTAACCATTTTTTAAAATGTTCCGATTCAATAATGTTTGAACGGAGCAAGCTTGGCTAGAGCATGAAATCTGTTCCCATTCAATCTGTTGCATTTTTTTTTCCTCCTTAAATGATTGTTGTTTAGGTCACGGATTTCTTTTGCCCCCCATTAGCTATCTCCCCACCAGCACCAGCACCAGCACCTTCTGGCATCTCTTCCTCCTGAAGTGGTTGTTAATATTCATGGGTTATCTAGATTTATAGGATATCCTAAATTAAAAATTGTTTTTTTGTCGCGACTGCATTTATCATAGCTCCTGAGCTAGCCCTGTATCTTTGGGCCAAGCTTACCTGTTTCACTTACAGATATTTGCAAAGATAGTTATTATCTGCTTGCATTGTTACAGGCCTGTAGCTCAGATACGCAATTTTGTTTCTGACCACCTTTAATCATTCAAAGTCATTAATCATTATTACAGGTGGATAAATTAATGCAAACTAAATAGATGTGGGCACTTGTGTCCTTACGAAAGAAAATGCCTTGTCTGCATCACTGTCTATTTAAAACACACACACACACACACAAAACCACATTTTTGCACATTAGTCATTAACCATTTATATATTGCTCTGTCCCCCAACCCCCC